AGATAACTGGAACTTCATTTGGGTTTCCCATATGGGTGCAGGGGCTCAAGTACTTGGATCATCTTCCATTGTTTTTGGACACATTAGCAGGGAGCTAGTTGCAGAATGTAGCAGCTGAACTCAAACTGGCACTCTGATATGGGATGCCAGCACCATAGGCTGTAGCTAAGCCTGATGTAACACAACGCTGGCCTTTTCATTAAGCTCTTGGGAAAGACAGAGTCACAGAGCACATAAGCAGCATGCCCAGAAAGCCTCAAAAGCAGATAAGGTTAGGAGGCCTAGAGGGTGACACTGTCATTCCATCCTCAGGGTTACACAGTCAGGCCTTCCTGTGTTGGGCCCCTTATCTATGCAGCACCAGTCATTGTTAATATTCCGTAAAGATGTAATGGTACAAGACAGATGTTGGCTGGTTTCAGGGAAATGATGTGTTAGAACCTGAGTCAGCCGTCTTTAGGTTTTACATTTCAATCTCACAGGTAGAAAGACAAGATGAGAATAAAATCTTGGTGAGACACATTTGTTTTGTGAATTGCTGAGACTGAGGACCCCTATAATCCAGCTAGTCAGCAGTAAAAATATCTGCATGAAAGACAAGAAACTGGGAATGGGTTTCTGGTATATGTCAATGCGAGTTGGGCCATTTTAAAGCACATGAGGCCAATGACATTATTTATTTTTCCACTTGGGCAGTTAGTCATCAGCTCATTCCACAATTGAGTCTTGGGGAAGAGTAGCCACAAAACGTAATAGGCATGGATGCAGGAGACACATAAGCAGAATCCTGCATTTCTGTTCCAATTCACTGCTTCTCGGGCTGGACTTCCCACCTAGGCATCCCATCTTAGGACCCGCCCCACCTCCTGGCCCTAGCTAGCAGGCCTGCCAGCCGATGGGGAGGGTAGAGTAGATGCCAGATAATTTTCTTTTTTTTGTCCCTAAGACTTGCTTATTTAATTGAAAGTCAGAGTTACAGAGAAAGAAAGACAGAAAGAGAGAGAGCTTTCATCTGCTGCGTCACACCCCAAGATGGTCAACACTGGGACAGGTCAGAAGTTAGGAACCAGGAGCTCCTCCCAGATTCCTTGTGTGGTTGGCAGGGAGCAACCACTTGGGTCATTTCTGCTGCTTTTCCAAGCCATTAGAACGAAGCTGGATGGGAAGTGGAGCATCTGGGACATGAATAGGCATCCATTTGGGATGCTGACTTTTCAGGTGGACACTTAACCTGAACCACCACAATGTTGGACCTGAGGTGATCATTTTTCATGTTCGATCTCCAGGTACTTGAATACAAAAGTTAGAGCTCAACTCTGTGTTCTTAGTCTACTGTTCTTAAGCGTGCCTTTAAAGCCATTTCTCCTTTATTAACTCTCCACTTACAAGTACCCCAAATGTGACTGGCAGGAAGGACAATGATTGATGGCTCAGGTGCATGACTGCAGCACATACTGGGTTGAGGGCCCCATTCCCTTGGTGTCAGTCCTTTGCTCCAGACCTAGCTTGGCTTTTCTGCCTCACAGTTGGGTCAGAACTCACTCAAGCCCACTCAGTCTTTGCACAAACTTGGCCCAGATGAAGGCACAGGAGAGGGCCAGTGTCATGGCACAGTGGGTTAAGCTGTATTTGGGACACTCTCATCCAATATGGAATGCTGGGTTTTGTCTCAGTTATTCAGCTTCTGGTCCAGCTTTGCTCAAGTTTCTGGGAGGCAGTAGGTAATGGCTCCCTGCCACCTAAGTGGGAGACCCAGCTGTAGCTCTTGGCTTGTGGCTTCAGCCTGGCCCAGCTCTGGCTCTTGAACCAATTGGGGAGTGAACTATATGATGGGTGATCGGACTCTGCTTCTATCTGTCTCCCTGTTAATGCTCCCGGGGCTAGCCTTCAGCCCTGGAGCCCAGAGCCCCAGTTTCCTGTCCTTTTATGCAGTTGTAGGGAGTTTTTTACAGGCTCCCGAGAGGTGGCTTGGAGCTCTGTGGTGACAAAAGACAAATTAACTTAAGAAGTTAATGCCTGCGTCCAAGTGCTTTCACAACTCCTCTTTTTAACCACACCTAAAATGCAGGCAGTTCCTTTTTATATATTACAATCTGCATATGTTGTGCCATTTTTGAAATGACCCATGTTCTTGGATTTATAAAGCTACACCTCCTTTGTGAAACAACTTGCATTTTCAGTCTAGAGCATGAGTTTCAGAATATACCCTGCTCCCTGCAATGGAAAGATCAAGCAGGACTCTCATCTGGGTTACTGAGGCCAAGGTTGATCCTCAGGACAGCAAACCGCTTCCTGACCACAGACTGAACTACCAACTCTTGTTGACTGGCAAACATAGGCCCCAGTGAAAATGGGATCCAGATGGAGGAGTGTGGACCTCCAGGCTGACCCTGGACTGCTCAGGAGGCAGTGGGAGCCCTGGTCACAGGCAGCAGGACTGGAGTGGAGGTCTCTTGTCTCTGCTGACAGAGCCTCTGATTGCACAAGCACATGGTGGGATTGGAAACCAGGTGCTGAAAGACCCAGGCTGCAGAACTGTGCTTTAGAAGTGAGCACAACCATTCAGCGAAAGCAAGCAAAGCAAATGAAAAACTATGCCATCTCTCCATTCAGCCATCAAAACAGAAATATTAAATGCACTGCAATGCCCACATTCACAGTGGGGGATGGGAATCCCCATCACAGTCTAGTGCTCCTTTCCTTTTTTCCTGAATAACTACCATCTCCTAGCCTCTGGCTCTTCCTCTATTTAATTAATTATTTGATTTGATTTGACATTCCCATTGATTTATACCCTCGGCAAGTTCATTAAGTCATTCCTTTGAGAATTTACAGTGGCTGCCAATGCTGTCTCTTTGACTAAAACCAGGCCACTCAAGCTTTAGTCGAAACTCTCCATTGTTGGCTCTCACTCACCTAACCATCATGTCCTGCCTGGCCCTCAAACTTCTGTTCACTATTGTCATCTTTTCTCCCATCTTTGTTCATTTACAGTCAGTCACATGACATTAAATAACAGGGATACATTCTCCGGCCCCGCCTTCCTCAGTGGCATCACTCAGGGCTTATTTCTTCCACCAACTCCAACCCCGCTCTTCTGCGAAGTGCTAGGCTCCGGGGCCAGCCAGGCCGTCTCCTCAGAGTGGTAGGGCCAGAGAATGGACCGCAAGGCTCAGGAGGGGCTGTGTGGAAAGGAAGCAGAGTCCACAGGACTAGAACCATTCCTGGTGGAGCCTGCAGTCAAAGTGGAGGCCTCTGGAGACTCCTACTACAATGGGGGAGCCGTGTGCACATGTGCATTTAGAGAGAAAAGACCTGCTGGACAAAGTTGGGCTTAAGTAGCCAGGCCAGAGCTGCTGTAACTCAGAAAACATCCCTTTGAAGGAGCAGGGAGGAGAACAGTTAGAAGCAGTGGGGGAAGAGTTAACAATTAGAATGAGAAGTGACAGGGAAGAAGGTAAGGTGACCTGGAGCTCCTGATTCATCCCAGTAGGTTGCGGGATGGGGTGGGAGGAGCAGAGGCCTGTGGGAGAGAGGCTTACCACAGTACTGTGAGCAGGCAGGTGGCAGCCTCGAGGGAGTCATGGCTGGAGGGAAGGCCTTGCAAGGGTGACCTTGGGAATGGGTGACAGGTTGGCTGTGCTGACACGGCGTGAGCAGTTTCCAGCTTTCTCTGTGTGGCCTTGATGCCACCAGGGTGGAGGGTCTCAGGCATTGGTGGCTCTTAGGAACCTCTAAAATGTCATCTTTCTTCTCACAGGAGTCTGAGTTTCCCTTCTTGCCAGCTTCAATTTCCACCTGACTGGTCACCGTAGCCTCAAGCACAACCCATCTCAAAACCACCTCTTGTCGCCTTCCCCGTCTGCGAGCTTCTTCCTGTGCACTTACCTGGGCTGATTGTTGCTGGAGCATCTAAGGCATGCAAACCACAGTATGTGATTGGCCCAGTAAGCCTGCAGGCTGGGTTCTCCCAGGTGACAGATTAGGAAATGAATGAGTAAGGAAAGTAGGCAACTGGCCCCAGCTGCATGGCTTTGTGAGTGGAGGAATCAGGTCCAAGCCCAGGAACTCCTGGCTCTTGGAGCCAGCACTCTCATCTCAGAGCCAGCAGAGCAGCAGGTGTCGGCCCTGACTATGCCCTGGGGTGCCAGGAAAGCTGGTAGAGAACAACCAGCTGGACCCCACCCCTGAGCTGCGGATTCAATTTGCAGAGGTTAGAAGTTCCCCTGGTGCTTTTTATGTGCAGCCGGGGATGAGAATCAGCAGGTATGCAGGAGCCTCCAGGATGGCAAGGGCCTCCACTACATCCCTGTTCCCAGCGCTGCACCTGGCTGGCAAAACTTGTTGGGTGGCTGACAATGTGAAGGAAGGGCAGCCTGATGCACATGATTCTTCTGTCACCTAGACCCAGGCCCGAGGTCCCCTTAGCGCATGAGTGAGCCAGCTGGCTCCCTGGCTAGTCCTTCTTCCTCCAGCTGGTGAAAACAGTCTTCTCAGCCCTAACCTTTTGCTTTGCAAACTTGCCAGAGTTGTTTCAAATCTAAGGACACAGTTGCTGCTCTTTAGTCTGGCACATGATACCCCCAAAACAACTCAGTCTCAGTCAGTCCTGGCTTGCGACCACATCTCCTCTCACGAGTTCTCTGTGCTGCAAGGTGGGCAGTCTCCCAGGTTCCTGACGGCATCATGCACATCCTACCAGTGGAGCTTAGATGGCACATTCCATCGCCTCCTCCGCCGTGAGGACCCTATCCTGTTTTTCACCCCAGCTCCCAAGGATCCCTTCCGACTCTGACCATCCAACCTAAGCATCCCACATGATTCCATTCTTACCTGGCTTCTCATTGTCATGTCAACATGCAACTGCCCTAATTTCCCAACTATGTTAAGATCGACTTTTGGTGCATAATTTTATCTCCCCCTTGGTGATGCCCACTGCACATTCTCTGTGTTTGCCACCAAGCATCTCATACTGCCTGTGGGTCTTGGTGCAATCTTACCTGTAATACCGGGACTGCAAGTAGGTGGAGCACACAGCCTTGGACACATGACTGGCTGAACCAAAGTCGATGACCTTCACTCTGTATGGCTGTCTGGATGGATCCACCAGCATGATGTTTTCTGGCTTGAGGTCAGCGTGGATGAGACCAAGGCTTTTGAGTTTCATCAGGGCTGTGGCTACCTGTTGGAGGACTGGGCGGATGTATTTTAGGGGCAAGGGGCTAAACTTGTTCTGCTTGAGAAAGTCATAGAGGTTCTGTTCTAACATCTCAAAGACCAAGCAGGTGTGGTTCTTGTGCTGGAAGCACTCATAGGCCCGCACGAAGTTATAGTCATCAGCACTTTCTGTGCTCAGCCGGGCCAGGATGCTCACTTCAATCTGACCCTGTCGGGCATAGGATGGGTGGTTCTTCAGGATCTTGATGGCCACAATCTCATTGGTGCCCCGTTTCCAGCACTTGACCACTTGCCCGAATGTCCCTCGGCCCAAGAACTCTAAAACTTCGTAAGTGTTGGTCATGGAGCACAGCACTTCATGCTGGACCAGCTGGTAATCTCCTTCGCTGTTGGAGCCGCTGTTTTTTGAGGTGGCAGTGGACGTGGTGGCAGTGGCTACAGTGGCCCCACTGGCATTATTCTGAATCATGGGTGGATGCTCTTCGATGATCTGTACGCTGCTTGTGTTCTCGATTTCCTCGCTCTTACGCTTGAGTCCACATTTTTGGTAGGTGTCAAGAAGGCTCACAGTGCTGCGACGCATTAGGTTATGTGGTCCACCGAGGACTTGCCCAGTGACAGACGTGCTACTTGCTGATGTTACCACTATGTGCCCAGTGCTTCCTGGGAAGATGATGGTCTGTTCGTAAGGTAGGCTTGGGTTTGGGATTGGCAAGGAGGTGCTGACGGTTGTGGTGGCTGGCTGAGAAGGTGCTATGTTCTTGCTCTGGCTGTACACTTTGCTGTGGGAGCCGTACCCAGTCATGTCCCAGTTGGAACTCGGCTCTACTTTCAGTTTCTTCACACTACAGAAGGCACTTGATTGGAGGGTGTGAGGGGAGAAAACTTGCACATGTGAGGCCATACCTATAAGAGAAGGAAAAGAAAAAATAAATGCCAAGTCACCTTGGTGTGTATCAACCCAACATGTCCATTTCAGCTCTTTCTGATGAATGGCTTGGATTAAATACAGCATTACCCGCCTCACCTACTTCAAAATAAAGTTGGAAATATGAATCTAGTCGCCACAGAATTCTGCACACCTGGTCACTCAGCATGTGGACCAAATTGTTCCAGGTGGTCCTACTGTCTCCAATAGGAGAGATGAGACTTGCAGGGTAGCCCCATTCTGGGGCTATTCTGATAGATAGCTGCCTTAATTCTGTAGAATTGTTTTACAGTTATTCTCCAGGCAGCTTTTAACCAAGTGCTTGACATCTGTATCCCAAAGCTGGGGTCAACACCCAGCTCCAGTTCCTGACTTTGGTTCTCTGTCAGCATACATCCTGGGCAGCAATGGCTATGGGCCTCCTGCATGAGACCCATCCCATCAGAATGTCTATGAATCTGTAACCTCTTCCAGTGTCTAACTGTGCACTGTGCTTGTGTGGGTCCTCTTCATCCTTTAAAGTGCTAACTAAAACACTGATTACTTTTTGATTCAGTTCTCCCTAGAATACATCAGCCATTCAAACAGTTTTAGCTGCCACCTCTATGTAGGTAACTCTCACATGTTTATCACAGGCTGGGTTCTACCTCATAGTTGCAATATTTTGACCTTCTGCCCCAAAATCAAAGATGATCTCCCAAAGTGAAATCTTTGCAATTTCCAAAAAATCCAGCCTTCTCAACTCCTTCCTAAAATCTCTATTTCTGTCTGTAAAATATGCTACCAGTTATCCGGGTCCCAACTGTTCATTTTCTCTTAATGAGTCTTCTTATTTTTTTTTCTTTCTTTCTTAATGAGTCTTCTTAACCTCCTTGAACAAGAAGATATGATGTCTTAATCATCTCTCCTTCCTTCAGAATTTCTCATGCACCCAACTCATTTTTTCTGTTCTTGCCACCCCTTCCACAATTGAGGCACTCATCTCTCTCAGAGCCAATGTAAATACAGACATCTCATCTATCTGAACACGTTTTGTCCAGCTTAGGCCATCAGATTAACCTTCCTGAAACATCTCTGAGGATGTCATGTTGTTCTGAACAAAAATCACTCATTAGTGTCTAAATGATCCCAATTGTCTTGTTGGCTTCAGCGCCAATTAGTAATCTTTCTGAAACTCTTGACTCTAGTAACCTGATCCGTCCACTCATTGCAGAATTTTTCCTATACTCCACCCACCCTCATTCCCAACCTCTCCCAAGCATGCCTTCATCACTCCTTTCCACTTGACCAACCCGTGTTTGTCCCTCTCCTTTGTAAACCAGTGTAACCCCAGTGTCATTTCTGATGCTCTGGTCCTACAGCACTTAGTATAGGTAGCATTTATTTGGTCACAGATTGTGTTTCTGCCTCTAAAATCTTCATCCTTATTGACTTATCTATCTTTTATGCTGTTCAACTTCTTGACATTTTAGATTCTAGGGACAAGTGCTACAGTCTACATTTCAAGCTTCCCTTTATTTTCCTCAGCATCATAATAAGTTTAGTACACATGGCAGGTATTCAGATGATGGAATACAGTACTCTGACCAGCTAGACCTCCAGAAAAATTAGTTCTCTGACCATGCAATAATTGCCAGCTGGAACCTGGACTTCTAGAGAGTAGGGACAAATCTGCCAATATTTGTCCATTCAAATCAAGGTTTTAAAACCAAGACAGAAACTGGGCAGCTCCTGTCCTGGACTTAGTAGCCATGTCTATCTACACTTCAGCCTTCCCAAAACATGAGTGCCCAGCAAGTGATCTCACTTCCACGTTTATCCTGATCCCAAGGCTGTACAGAGGCTTCTTTTCTTGGAATTCAGACTCTAGTCTTCACCTGTAGGTCATGATTGCGTGTCTGTGTACATCCTCAAGCCTTGACAAGACTATTCTGTTACTCATTGCAGAATCCATGTCACCTGTTACTGTTTATTATTATTAAGATTTACTTATTTGAGAGACAGAGTTACAGAGTAAGAGATCTCTCTAAATGGTTGTAATGCCTGGGCCAGGCCAAAGCCAGCAGCCAAGTGCTTCATCCAGATCTCCCAAGTGGATGCAGGGGCCCAAGTACCTGAGCCATCTTCTTCATTTTCCCACGCACCAGATCAGAAGTGCAGCACCCAGGACTTGAACTGGCTTCCATGTGGGATGCCAGCACAAGCAGGCGATAGCTTAGCCCCTGGCACTGCAATGTCAGTGCCTAGGTGTCACCTGTTTTTTCCTTCTCTTGTTCAAATCAGCCTCTCCTTAATTCTATAGCATGGGAACGGTTGTTTTCTATTGATTAGTATTAAGTATCCATATTGTTCTATAAAAGATGTTGTTCTAGATGCTGTGTACAATACAGAAATAATCACTGCTCATCTTTCAATACTTATCCACTAAAAAGGCTAGGTAAATGTTTCCCTCGTCCGTTTGTCTCTAGCTGGCCCCATATGCCCTCAATCCTGCAAATCCCAAGTAGACGTGGGACTGACCTGAGGAAGCAGGGTACAGGCATGATGGTCATACACAAGGACAGTGAGGCCTTCTTCTCTGTTTTTGTTATTTCAAAAAGATTTTGCTGGAAAGGCCAGGGTGCAGAAGTGGAAATTTACAGAGGAAAAGACAGTGGCTTATGACTTCTTTGTTATTGGGATGACGGCCAAGGGTCATAAAATTGTGAAAACCGTCACTGGCTGTCTCTGGTGACATTCCCAGGATCAGAGAAGAAACCTGCATGGCCAGAAACCCTTCCACACAGCAGCTGCCTCCGACTCTGGCAAGGCCTGGTATAGCGACTGTGGCTCCTTTATAAGGTCAACAGTAACCATTCCAAGAACTGCATGTAATTCCCAAGACACTCTTGTCACCTTTGTTCTGTAGCAGAGGCCATTTTGCTCTGGGAAGCCGACTATTCAAACAAGATCTCACTCAGGAAAATCTGTGCTATACTAATAACTTTAAAAATTCCTAAAATATCTTTGTAAGGAAGAAAACATTACTGGTGGTTTCACAGCTTAATTTTTAAATAATCTCGTGGCTATGATCAAATCATGTCCAATTATTTCTCCACGAAAGTTATTTTTTCTGGAACAACCCTCTCGGTGAGTTCACCAACTTTTAATCTTCAGTTTAGCCCTGATCCCTGAAGTTGGGTGGGGTGCTTTATGCATCCCATTGTAAGGAAGAGCTAGATCTTTCCCGTCACTTGTGCCTGTGTTGGCCCTATACTCTGCCAGGCCCATTCCCCTCCTTATTTGTCAGTAGTCTTTCAGAAAAGGAAGAGGCTTACTGGACCCTTGCAGCTTGATCCTAAAGTGAAATCTCAATAGCTTTTCAGGTCATCTCTGCCCTTTCTAATTGGTCCTTGGAAGAGGAAAGTGTATTTTGCCCCTCCTAAATGGAAGGTGGGGAGGCTGTTATGATACAACCATGGGACTGAGTTTTGAGTCCACAGGGAGTGGTATGGGGAAGCCTCCTCCTCACACCCTTAAAAAAAAAAAAAGTAGGGAACATTATACCTGTTCCCTAGAGGAGAGACCCAAATCAAATCTTTCCAAAAAGGCCTAGTGGCCTTCCAACATAAAAATCTGACCAAATAGTTCCATTCTCATTCAAAGTATATACTGGCTCTACCATGGATGTTCTATGGACAGTGTGAGTACTTCAGTTTGGGATGGCTTAAATTTGTCCCTTGGAAGCTTGATATGGTGATGTTGGGAGTGGTATGACCTTTAAGAGGTGGGGCCTGGTGGGAGATCCTTGGGTGGCTGCTCTCAGAAAGGATTAAGAAAGCCCCTAAGGAAATCCCTGAACTCTTTCTAAATCAAGTTGTTCTAAGAGGTGTCCAATGCCTGAATCATTCTTTGGCTTCCTTCTTGGGGATGTGATCTCTCACTCCCACACCTGCTCCCACCATTTGCCATAGTGCCCTTGCATAGCTTGTACCATGTTGTTTGGATTTTCAGCCTCTCTAACTATGAACTAAATAAATCTCTTTTCTTTATAAAGTTAGTTGGTCCTTGGCATTTTCTCATTGTAACAGTCAATGGGTGAACAGGGCAAGCAGACTTTTCCTGAACAGTCATGCATAACCATTGCTAAGCCAAGCTGGTTAATAAAAGCACCCGCTCCACTTTATTCTCATAAAGCATAAGTTAAAAAAATAGGAAGTCAAGTGATGGGCTTAAGCTCCTACAAGAAGTGAGAGACTCAGAGTTTAAGCCTAGGTAATTCTATGTACCATTTTGTCCCTCTTTGTCTTAATAATGTATTCAATTTTTAATGGTAATTTTTAGAAATTATTTATTTGCCATATTTATTTGAAAGGTGGAGAGAGAGAGAGACAAGATCTCCCAATCCACTGGTTCACTCCCCAGATGTCAGTAACAGCTGAGGCTTATAGGTGAGGCTGAACCCACGAGCTGGGAACTCAGCCAGGGCTTCCTCCTGCATGGCAGGAACCCAGCTCTTTCAGTCATTGCCTGATATCTGCCAGGATATACATTAAGCAGGAAGCTAGAATCAGAAACATAGCCGAGACTCAAATCCAGGCACTCCAAGACGGGATGTGAATATACCAAAAAAATGCATTCACTACTATGCCAAATATCTGCTCCCATACCTTAAGGTTTAAGAAATTTCTTTTTCTGATGTTATGGATTTTTTTTCCAATCCAGCAAAAAGAAATCTAAAACTCTTCATAATCTTCTTGAGATCATAACTCATAGGTTTGTTAAAGTTAACATTTGCTAAGGAATTGACTTACGTAGTCTCCCTTCCTTAATTGCTTAGTTTCTTCATAACTTTATATTTCACAATGAGATGAACTGAAAAGTTGCTTCACATCTGAGTACACTTCCTTTCCATTTCACCACCCTCAAATTATCTACTGGAAGATCAAATTCTGGTGAAACTACAAGGATGAGCGAGGGTATACTTTGATAAAAATAA